TGGCCGCTCAGCTGGTCAGCCTCTTGTTCAGGAGGAGCACTGAAGCTGACAGGGAGGAGAAACCATGGCAGAATGCACAGAGCTCTCTGACTCGAAGGCATTAACTTCCCTAATCTGTATTTTGGTTTTCTAAGGAGATTGAGGATGAAGTATTTACTTCCTAATGGAAATTAAATAGCTTGGATTTGGTTAAAAATAGAGCTGGCTCGCATTTTGCAAGATGCAATTGGAGAGCTGGGGTTGTGGATGGAAACTGAAGTGACAGAGGAGAGCAGGGGCTGGGAGAGGGCAAATGGAGAAGGTCTGAAGATGACACAGACCGAGTTGCTGAGATTAAAGGTCCTAGAGTTCTGTTTCTGTCACACGTGGTTCCATTTCACCTAATTTGCAGTCTTGTAGTTTCCTATTTTTTGTTTTAATATACTCATCTACTTACCGATGTCCAGGAAAAAAAAAAAAAAGAAAAATGGAAGTTCTGAAGGTTCTGTGTGCGTAACAAAAATGTGATGCGACGTATTCCCTGTGTGCATCTCCAGAATAAAAAGGCAGAGAGAAATCGGATAAGCGCATCAATAGAAGTCAGCTGTCTGCCAAAGCGTGTTTTAAATATCAAATTTGAATATAATGGTATGCACGGTTTCTGTATCAAATTATGACATTATTGGCAAAGACTAGAAAGTGACACAAGTCAGTCCTCCTACCTTCTGAGATTACAGATGAAACAGCCTTAAATGGAATACAAAGCAGTTGTGTCATCAGATGGGAGCTTACAGGCATTCATGTGGTTCAGGCAAGGGAAATCCAAACGAAGACAAATTAATGCTTTTTTCTTTATTATATTTTATCAGAGGGGGATTGCTGGGTGATAGCAGTGCTGCTTGCTGTGCGTAGCTGTGGGGTTTGGATCAGACCAAGGATTTTGACTTAAATAAACCCAAATTTCATTTCAGCAACTGTTAAAGAATAATAATTCTCTCATAGAGCGCTCCCAAAAGACAAGAGTGTGCGGACGAGAGTCAGAAGGCTGTGTACTTAATACATCACGTACTGTTGATTTTTAAAGCAATAAAGCAATAACGAGAGCAGGAACATCTGGAAGCATGCTGCGAAACAGTTATTGTTTAAATATTAATGACCTGGTTTTGTAGCCGTCGCAGTTAACACGCAGATGGAGGCTGGGTTTTAGCTGAGCTGCTTGGCCTGGCCCCTGTGGTGTGATCCAAAGGTGATGTGGGCAGCTGGGGAGGTGTGACAGGATGCTCATGGAGTCATAGAACTGCTCAGCTTGGAAAAGACCTTAAAGATCATCAAGTGCAACCACGACCTGCCTGTACTGCCCCAGCTCTAACAGCAGCTAAATCACATCCCTGAGCACTGCATCCAGATTTCAAACACATCCAGGGCTGGTGACTCCACCACCTCCCTGTGCAGCCCATTCCAGTGCTTAACAACCCTTTCTCTAAAGAAGTTTTTCCTGATATCCAACCTAAACCTCCCGTGGTGCAACCTGAGGCCATTTCCCCTCGTCCTGTCACCAGTGAGAAGAGACCAGCCCCGCTCTGCTGCAATCAGGTATTGGAAGAGAGCAGTAATGTCTCCCCTCAGCCTCCTCTTCCCCAGACCAAACAGCCCCAGCTCTTTCAGTCTCTCCTCACAGGCCATATTCTCCAAGTCCTTCACAGCCTTGCTGCCCTTCTTTGGCCCTGCTCCAGCACCTCCATGTCCTTTCTGTACTGAGGTGCCCAAAACTGAACGCAGCACTCGAGATGAGGCTTCACCAGTGCCGAGTACAGGGCAGGATGACTTCCCTGCTCACCACAGCACTCCTGATCCAAGCCATTGCATCCATTGGCCTTCTCAGCCAGCTGGGCACACTGCTGGCTCATACTGAGCCACCAATACACCAAGACTCAGGTCCTCGTGGAACTTTCTGTGGTGTTCCCTGCAAATGGCAGAGTGAGGTCGGGGCACCTCGAGGATATTGGGACAGAGAAGAAAGAAGGAATATATTTTTTTCTCCCAGGCCTAAGAAATATCGCTGTAATTTTGCTTCTTGCTTCTGCTGCCGTTCCCCCGTGACAGTTCCATATAGCTACAGGCTGTCTGTCAGTGGCTCTCATATATGCACAGACAGACATACACTCAGAGGGAATATTTGTTAACTATGACTATTTGAGGCGAAACAGCGAGGTTCTGTGCTGAAGAAGAATTTTTCAGTTAGCTGCCTGAGGCACCAGGCGTTTTAGAATCAAAATCTGGAAAGTCGAGTCATTATTTCTGTTGTTTTAGTGCCTGCTTTTATTCTTTCTTATTGACAAATGTTCCTTAACCCATATTGCTGTGGGTGGTTTCTTTTTTTCCACATTTGCACTGTACAGAACTGTTCAGAAAAGGGAAAAAAAAAAAGACTTTTTACTGAGCAGCCTTTGCCTTGTCTCCCACTCTGTGTTCCATCATCCATTCCTTTCCAATTCCTGCCTCCACTTTGGACTTGCAGTCTGTGGAGATAGACTGAAGTCTGTAAACTTCCACAGGAGATGCGAATGGAAAAAGTCTGGAATGAATGGGAGCAGGACGGAGAAGTCCTCCATGCCTTCCTGTGATGAGGTCTGTGGAGGTTCATGCTTCAGAACCCAGGGAGCAGATACAGATCCTTGTGCTCGTATGAAGACCCCAATGGGAAAAAGCAAGGATCTGAGCATGGCAGAGGGACAGCTTTAAATGTGTGCATTTGTACAGACAGCCAGAGACACAAGCAGGGCTGTGGGGCAGGAGTCTTGTGTGCCGAGACCCCCTGGGGGTCTCCTGTGGCCATTTGAGAGAGTAATAAAAAAAACAGAGGAGGTGAAAGCGTTCCCTTCCAACACCAGGATGGATGGGGAGCTCCTGCCTGACCCCTCCTGTTTGGCCCCAGTGCTCCGTGAGATTCACCAACCAGGACGACACTTTGCTGAATGCAGTGGGGACTTTCCGTGTGCCACGATGGAGATGGGGATGGAGAACGCTCTTGAGATCAGCTCTCCTCAGCTCGAGAGCCACTGAGAAAGCTCTGAGGAGGAGAGGTTTTCAAGGAGAGATAACAGCTTTTTTTATGAGCTGCAATAGAAGCACGCAGGCAAGGTTTTTGGTTAGACAGCCCTCTTAAGGCATCTTACAAGCGCTGCAGGAGTGCCAGCTGCTGTGTTGGCCACAAAACCCCACGGTCCTCGAGGCAAGGAGCAGGGCAGGTTCGGCGTCCTCTCAAAATGCATTGCAGGGTCTGGGGGGGCAGTGGGGGCTGAACATGGGGGTGTGAGCAGTGGGGAGGGCATAGGGGGAGAGGGAGACAGTGCTCTGCCCTAGAAGACAAATAGGCACATTTTTTCTCCTGATTATCTTCATCATCATGTTGTTTCCCATTCGTTATGGGTAGCTCTGATAGGCGTTTGGTGAGTTTGAGTCACACCTGATGGTTTTCTCAGCAGTTCCTCAGCCAGTGTGCTGCAGCTCAAATAGACTCAGACTGATGTAGGGAGCGAGGCTCAAAAAATTGCTCCATAAAAATACAAAAGTGGGATCTGGTAACAGAAGTAGTTCTAGGTCCTGAAATCGTTCCTTTTATTAGATGAAGTTCAGACAGCTCTATTTGCACATTTATTTACCGTGGCATTTTATTGGTACACTTAATGCTGTTTGATTAACCTGCCTTCCGACTGCGGAACTAAATGTCTGACGGATGAGCAGCGTTGTGAAATGAAGGATATAAACTTGTTTACCAAGATGGTGTGGAACCTTTGCAGGTCTCTGCAGCCTTTGTGCTTAAGGTTGAGCCTGGACAGCGATGCAGAGGATCTCCATCTAATCTCTAGGGCATCAGCTTGGGTCCTGCTGTGCATCAGGTGGGTCCTGCTGCCTCCCACTGTGGTTTTCCCCCTCTGCTGACAATAGCCATAAATAATAACTGCTGCACAGGCATCATTCTAACAGCATGGAAACGAGTAACGATGCTGGGACTGACAGCTGGGCTGCACAGAGCTGCGCTAGGGGGGGCTCTGGGACAGCACAGCGCTGCCTTCAGCATCAGCCAGTGTTTAAGTCAAGTTCTTAAGTTAATATCTCGGTTCCTTTGAGTCTTTCCATGGCTGGTGACACATAAAACAGACAAGCAAGGAACTCGTCTGCAGATAGCTCTAAGATGGGTTTCCCCACTGCTGTAGTGTGTGAGCCTCGGGGCACCCTGTGTCTGTTTCTGGAGGGTGCTGAGCTGCTCTGTTGGTGCTCAGGAGGTTGGCTTTCCTATGAGAGGTGCAGGGATCACTGCAACTTACAAATAAGGAAGATGCTTTGTGCAGCTGTCCATCACTGTGGCCTAAAACACCTTCCAAGTCTGCAGACTTTATGACATATCTCCTGTGCGGTTCATCAGCTGTTTGAGATCACAAGCTCTTGCTTTCCTTTTTTAATGGGGAGCATCTCTGACACCATCATGACACCATCAGAAAGGTCTGTCTGCTTTCTCAGCATATTTCTCTGTGAGTGCACCCACAGAGCACCAAACCTACCTCAGGGAAACCTGCTGAAATGGGACAGGAGGCTGTGATTCATTGCTGGAGAACCGTGCAGAACTCCAGCATGAAAACAGGCTCCACAGAAAGGGTTTTTGTCAGGCAGCTAAACTGGGGATGAAGCTTTTTGGCAAAGCTTCTGGAATGAGCACGAACCACAGGAGAAATAAGAGCAGGAGGGAGAGGCCAGGTGTGTGTGAGCCGGGCTGCAGCTCTGTCCCTGGGCATTGCTTGTGGCTGCAGGCAAAGACAGCTTTAATTGTTGGCTTATAATAAACCAGGTACAGCATGCAAATCTTGTAAATGTCAAAAGGTTCCAAAATGGGAGCAGTGGACTTATGTGAGGATGAGCCGTTTTATTTCCAATTGGATAGTTGCTGTAATAGAAATATTATAGTGACAGCTGATCTTGCTCCCAAGCCTAATGCATTTTCAACTTTCTTTTGCTGATTTCAGGACATACAGCTCCTGTAATTTGCATCTGGATATCAGGAAATGATGCATTCCGACAATATTTCACCTAACGCCGGGGACAGACCAGCAGAAATAACTCATACCAACAGATTTACAGGTAAAATTGCTTTTTATTTAAGAGGACTCCTATGGAAATTGCAGTTTTTCTGCTTCGGTTTGAGCTGGGGTCACCACGAACTGCAGGTGCCTCTGTTCAACCCCTTGGGATGGAGAGGGATGGCTGAACTTTAGGCACAGGACCAGAGCTGCTCTGAGTTTCCAGTCTTATCCTCATCTTCTCCATAAATGTAATGAATATAATGCTAGGCTCTGAATTCCAAGCTCTGTCTTTTGGAGGCATCACAACAAGAAGTGAGTTAGAAGGAGAAGAGGGGCAGGACTGAGCTGGTTGTGGTGCACAATCCTTCCCGGTGATGCTCCCTAGTCAACAGTTTAGTTTCATTATTAGGGAAACATATATCAGATGTCTGTGCTTTTGCTGAGTTGTTGCTTTTTATTCTTGCATAAATAGAAAATATACAGTTTTCAGAGCTGTCAGTCTGGGATCTACAATGAGCAGTAAAAATAAACTTAGAAAGTAATGCTCAGGCAATTGGAAATGATGGTGCTTTGATATGGTTTTCTCCAGCCAACTTGCAACCTAAGCAAAATTACACACAGCTTTTGCCAAGCTTAGGATTTCTAAAATGCTTTGATTTCTCCTCCTCCTCCCTGCATTATTTGGTGCTTTGTGTGCAACCACAGCAGGCGTCACAAATGTAATGTGTGTAAGAACAGGGGACTTTAAATGGGAACATGACAGACATCACTGGGCTTTGAAGGAAAAGTAAAGTGGTGTGGGGGTGTGATGAGGGGAAAGTAACCCAGCACTCTGCAGCAGGGTAAAGGCTCCGTTAAGCTGGAGGGGCTTTGCAAGCAGTGTCATTCACCAGTGGTACTGCTGAGTCAGAGAAGAAAGGTACAAACAACTGCTTTTGGATCACATCGTAATGCAGAAATTCATTACTACGTGTTTTATTGGTGTTGAAGTGATGTCCCTAGTGAAGCTACAGCAGTTCCTAGCTCTGGTTGTGCAGTGGCAGCGTTCCCATTTGCCAAGGGCATGGCTGTCCTGGTTGCATCACTTATGAGCAGGATAGATAGCCAGGTACCTTGGAGACTGCTCTGCTCTTGGACACATCCCTCCCCTTGTGCTTGCTTTGTGCCATGCTACGCTCCCATAGCACACTTGGCACCTGGCAGCAGCAGGACCCAGGCAGGGCTCCATGCATAGCTGTCCCCACAGCACTCTTAACACCTATGGGAGGAAAACCTGAGTGCCAAGGCAGCCTCTTCCTTGTGCCTTCTGTTCATTTGCAGTGATATTGCTGGGTTCTGAGGGTTCTGGAAAGGTGGGAGGGAGGAGCGCCAAACTACCAGATTCATCCTTCTTGGCACTCTTTTCCCTTCCCTTCCCTTCCCTTCCCTTCCCTTCCCTTCCCTTCCCTTCCCTTCCCTTCCCTTCCCTTCCCTTCCCTTCCCTTCCCTTCCCTTCCCTTCCCTTCCCTTCCCTTCCCTTCCCTTCCCTTCCCTTCCCTTCCCTTCCCTTCCCTTCCCTTCCCTTCCCTTCCCTTCCCTCCCCTCCCCTTCCCTCCCCTCCCTCCCCTCCCCTCCCCTCCCCTCCCCTCCCCTCCCCTCCCCTCCCCTCCCCTCCCCTCCCCTCCCCTCCCCTCCCCTCCCCTCCCCTCCCCTCCCCTCCCCTCCCCTTCCTTCCCTCCCCTCCCCTCCCCTTCCCCTCTTCCCTCCCCTTCCCTTTGTAAAATTTTCACTTTGTATGTTATTAAGTGTTGACTTTCTGCTGTAAAGAGGATGAGAAATACAGCTTTGAGGAAGGGGATCAAATGATAAAGACTTAGGAAACCCTCATTTTATTTTGCCATAGAAAGCAATTAATCTTTGTGCATTTGTTTTGGGTTGCATAATAGCCTGGTATTGCACTGGAAAAGGTTGTATGTTGTGTCTTCGTATCCCAGTTACAATTAATCATATTTGTGTTCTGGCAATAGCCATTTCCATGTACAATTTGCCAACCTTGCAACTACAGTTCCTCCTCTACAAATCAATCTCTGTTTAATTTTATCCTCAACTAAATTTGACCAAACCCTCAGGAATTGGCTACAAGAACCAAACAAGTTCATCTTTTTATTTTGATCAATTCTGAGGGCTGTAGGCAGCCGTTCTGTAATCACTGCTCACGGAAAGCTCAAGTGGAGCACAGTGGTGTTTATGTTAGAAATCAGGAAACAAATTCTTCACCTGTTCTGTCTGCATCGTTCTCAGCTCTTGAAGTAGAGAAGCCTTTGGATTTTAGGTGAAATCAGTAAGTATGGAAGTGCATCATGTGAAGGCAGCAGTCCTGGCACCTTGTTGGAGAGCTCTGCCTTTCCTGATGGAGTCGAGGCCAGGATTTGATGTTTTCCAAAACTGTCTTCTCTTACCTGATGGTAAATGAGTCCAAAAAAGATTTCTGTCATTTCACAATAGAAAATGAGACAGATTGCACCATTGCTTCAGCTTTCATTTTAATACCTGCCAATACCGTTTTGCAAATCCTGGAAAGTGTAATATTGAAGAAAAAAAAGGAAAAAAGTGTAGCTAACATGAGGTTAAAAAATGTCTTTAGTGTGTAAAATATGAATCTGGATGACACATAGGCAGCTGCAGATGCACTAATTTGATTTCATGCCTTAGAATCAACTGTTCCCTTGCACTGAAAGGCACATTTACATCCATCTGTCAAAGTCTATTCCTTGTCTTTTCAGAGTTGCTCTGCTCTTGTTTCATCCCATGCTTTGCTCACCAGGGTGAGTTTCAAGTCTGCTTTCCCCATCACGTCCATATTTTTCCGGAAACCGTAGCAAAAATTTGTTGTTTGCATTTTCTTTCCATTTCTGACTCTTGTGGAGCTTTTATTACTGGATCAGGAGTGAGCGAGTCCAGTTGATAAAAGCCCAAATGGTTCCCTGGTTGGCCCATGTAGCAATCAGCCCCCCAGTATTCACTTACAGTGCTTGGATAACGGGGGTTGGATGGCCTTTCTCATGGGGTTAAAATGTTTGTAAAGAAAAACACAGCCAGGAAAGTTTGTGGGAGGACAAAATGTCAGCGAGCCTCTGAGGCTGTGGTGCTGATGGGTGGAAAGCTTTGCTCTCTTTGCCTTTTGGTCCCTGATGCTTTTTCCTGGTGTCAAGGAAGAATCAGCTCCTGGTAATAGAACTGGTAACAAATTCTTGGCAAAGAGAGAAAGAAGATGCAGAGGTCAGTGCTGAAGCTGCATGGAGCTTATTAATTTTTGCTTCATGAATTTTCATAGGGCTAAATTGGCTTTAAAGTGAAAAGGCAATTCTCATGTCTCTACCCAACGTGTAATTACTCAAAGTTACTGCTGAGAGATACAACAAAGATAAAGCACAGAGCTGGGCTGGAGCCCTGAGAGCTGCTGGCCAGAGCTTGGCTGTGCTCCTGGGATGTCTGGAGCCAACAGCCTCCATATGAAATGGGAACCCACGTAGGTCTGTGGCTCTTTATTATCTTCAGAAATATTCCTGTATTTGTTTTCTTTCAATCTTGTTACTTTCAATACTGGCTGTCATCGCAGTGGTCAGGGCAGGAGCTGCGTGTTGCCAGCTCTGATATTTCAGGGACACGAGATAATGGCTGGGGTCAGGAAGCAGCTTATTTCTACAGAAAAAGAAACCAGATATTTATTGGCGCTGATACATCTGTGATCTCAGAGAATTGCCTTCAGTATGCTCGAACAAACTGATTTCTTTGTTATGCACAAGTTGGCTTAAGATGCAAGGAAGGACATGTGCCATTTCAGATGATCCATTCTGATATGTGAGTAAAACTCCAATGCTGATGTCCATCTTCCAGTGTGGACATTAAGGCTGCTTTCTCAGCCAGACCTTTACCTTCCACATCACACAGCTTCGCCTCCCTCTGCTGAACGGGCTGGAGGCAGCTGGACGTGAGACAGAGAGAGGACTGAAATGATAATTCATTCAGGATAGAAGCAGGAGGCAGAATGTAATCCATCATATCTGCTCTATCTCATTACGAAGGTGAGATACAAGAGAGGGCAAGCTGTTAATAAACTGGTGGATGAAGTTATTTCACCAATCTGTTACAGCAAGCAGGGCTAGACAGGGGCAGAAGTGCAGTATTCACACCTTTTTCTAATGTTTTTTTTTTATTTCTCGTCCTATGGAGATGCCTTTGCAAAGCCAATGAGACAGTCTGGCTTAGGGAGCTGACATCCAGCCCCTCACAGCCCCTCTGATTGATGCATCTCCATGAGAAGCGCATTGGGAGCTGCAGGATGGCATTGCAGCAAGGGGCTGCTGCTCTGAGGCCGTGGGGTGGCAACTGGGAGGCAGTGGGGCTGTGCACACAGCGGCCTTCAACTGCTCCTCTCCATACACTGGTGATTCAGCAGAGGTTGAGTCTGTTCCAGTTTAAGAGTCTGCTCTTAGGAGACAATGCAGGTGCTTGAAGGATGCCCTTCAGCAACACCGTGGGCTCATTTATCTCACCCTCTCTTTCTCTGCCCACAAAAGCACTGTTTTGTATTCTGTCATTTCTCCTCTCGGAGATGTCTCCCTGGCAAGGATGAAAACCTTTCTCTGGAGCCTTACAATGGGCTGATCTGCAGCACAGCTGCACCGACAGGACTTCATTTCAAAGCTGTCATTTTGGCTGTGAACTGGAGGCTGTTGGAAGGTGCTTGGTGTTCCTGATGGTCTCCCAGTTGCAGCTGGGGTCCCTCCATCTTCATCTCTTCAATCTGATTGCTGGTGTTAACTCCTCCTGCTGAAATGTGGGGCTCAGCCCTTCCGCCCAGCACTGGCTCCTCATTCTCATCCTGCAGTAATTTCCCTCCATTGATGATTGCCTCTATTGGTGCCTCTAATTGTTCTTATTAGACTCAGTGAGCTTGAATGAAATTACCAAAAGCTACGAAAGCTCTGTTCCCTTCTCTCTGCCTTATTCCTCAGCTGTCACCATTCTGAGAAATGGTAGCAATGACAACAACAACAGAATAACTCACACTAAATG